CTCATAAACGCGATTGCTGATATGACGTCCCGGGTTCGAATCCCGGGTGGAACTAAAATCCGTAATTAGATTTTTCTGGATAATATAAGGTATACACGTCGGCGACATTTCAAAACACTCTACTTCTAACCTTTGCTTTATGCAAATCGGAGATAGGAAAATGTTCTTGATCAGTGTATATGTTGATTTTGTATGAAATTGTTGATTTTTTGGTCCGATTATGTTGTGTCCCTATATTTCTGATACGGCTATCTCGAAGCAAATAGCATTAAAAGTACGTAAACAGCATTAATGTGATTAAATTATTTATAAATAAAGGCGAAAGAGGAGCATCCTCAAAAGCACTCATGATGCATGGCGCGAAAATGCGTGCGTAACAAAATGAAATACAAGAAAATATAATAAGTAGAGCGTTAGCAATTCGTCGCAAATATATGGTACGCTCACCCATGATGTTTTATTTTTCAAAATCCTATAAACAACAACGTTTGCCACGTTACCACAGACACGACGTTTTGCTAGAGTAAAACCTTTCCTCTCGATCCAACTGGTATTTTATAGGCGTCCACTCGATGGCTGACATGGTCAATCCTGACGTCCATGATGTTATTTATTCGTCGCGATTTTATCGCACAAAAGCTCGAATATACTATTAAGAAAGATTGCTTGAGCGCATCAACGTTTACAACCACTTTTGACAATATTTTGTCCAGTGCTGTTGATACGTGCCGTGCAGTGGGTGTCGTAAGAGGCGATAGAGGAAAACAAATCAGGAGATGACCTCAGTGTCTTCCTAATTACGACTGAAAATAAAAAACTGCGGTTGCCGACTTGCTTGCCATGCGTTATGACTATCGCAAGTACCCTCCCCCCTATGGGGGGAGGCCTGTGTTCAGAATTGGACTTTAATAGGCTGCTACAGTAACGGCTGTTGATAATTTCCGATTAAAAAGAAAAGTAAATTTACAGTTTCATACATTCTTGCTGGAAACACCCCCCCCCCCCCCCATCATTTTTGTAAGGTTTATGGGAAGAATAGTCTGCCACTCGTGTTGGCGGACTTTAGATGTTTCTTTTTTTAAAAAAAAGCGTTACTCCACCCCCCCCCCCCCACACACACACATTAAGATTTTCTCTTGTATTGTAGAGGCAGTTTACATCAGACAAACATTCAGACCCTTAAGAATTATTTGTTATACAAATACTTGTTCCGTGTGGTATTCGAACCCGCGTCTCTCAGCACAGCAACTCATTGCTAAGCCACTGCGCCAGGGAACCGTCACATGTTTTTGAAACATTTTATCCCTCAGACATGCAGGTTTCCTCATGTAATTCATATATTACGTGAAATTTTAAATTTTATTACTAAAACACTTCACTATCTCCTATTCGGAACATCGTAATGGGCTAGAAAGACGAATCTCATAATCAGTCAACTCGAATAAAATATGCTATTTTATTCACAAGGCAATCCACACTATAAATAACAATGTTATACATTATCGCTGCTCATTGTCAAGGGAACAACATGCGCTGAAAACAGGGTTGTCAACTTTACACTGTTTGTTGTTCCCTGTAATTTGGGAATAAATAAAATACATTCCAGGTTTTAAAATTTGTTAATATAAAAATATTCGTTTGTAGATTAATCTACAAACGAATATTTTGGTTCTCTTTTATACTGGCTCTAAGTTTGACCATCAAAGAAAATTGTAGTTTTTAAAAGAAATTATATAAATAGGATCGTTTGGTTATAATAGTCGGTAGTTGGGTCCCTTGTATGACTAGCAGCCCGTATCTGGGTTCGTATCACAAAGGCATGACAATCCTATATTTATCTGGTAAAGCCTTGAATATTTCATTATAAATACAAAAATACAATAAACATTTTTTACCGATTCGAGTCTAACTTTCAGGGTAAAAAGTCGAGGGAAAAATCTTATGAAAAAACTTATGCTCACTTTACATTTTGAAAAGTGCGCGTTGTAATACGCACTAAGCACTTGACATTTTCGTAAGTTGCACTTGCCACTCGTATTTGTCATTTCTCAAAATATAAACCGGGCTTAACGCATATCTCAGTCGTTAAACTCTTGGTTCTGTTTAAAGAAATTGTATGTTGTTTGTAAAAAAAGTCAAGGTTATTTATTCTTAATATATAATAGTTTACCGTTACCGCTTAATAATGTCCACTGCTAAACGTAATGTAGTGCCTTTCCTACAGAATGCCTCGTAGAGTGGACATTAGGCCTAGTTGTTACGCTTGGCAAGCGAGTTGGCAACCAGAGTTTTTATATTTTTAGTAGTTATTAGGAAGACGCTGCTGTCCATCTCCTGAGAGATAGACACTCTGTCGCCTCTTACGGCACACAGTCCACCTGATGGTAAGTGAATGTTGTGGCCCATAGACATCCACATTCATTTTCAAATAAGGATCAAAATGCAAATGCGTTGTAACCCCTGAGTACTAAGTTGGAACGCCTCGATTTCAGTGAAAATGGTGCTGTGTTTCGTATGGTGAGTGTAGAGAACACTCGCCATACGAAACACAGCAGCATTACACTGCAATTTTACGCTGGTATTCTGTGAGAGCATGGTCTTGCCCCGGTCGAGGCGACCCATTCGTGCTACAACTGTAATATAGCTGTAGAGTGGCTTTACCATGAGATATAGGATAGTGGATATTCTTTCATCATCACTACTCGATAATATAATGATTTAATAGTAATCTAATAAGTTTTAAAATATTGACTTTGCTCACTATTATTAGAATTACCACATAAGATGGTATGGTAAAAAAATAATCGCGTTGGCAGCCCCAAACCGGCTCTATTTGCGTACATCCGTGTTAAACACAGCGTTTCGACCATTAAACAACCTAATTTAAACCGTAAATTCCATTATAATGTTATATTACATTTTTGCGTGAGATTTTTTTATATTGAAGTGGCAAACGAACTTACAGTTTCACTGATGTTAAGTTGTTAAGTGTCTCCTACAATCAACTTTAAGAAGACTACAAATGTGTTGTTACCACTTAGTACCGGCACATAACAGATCATGCACTCTCGCTTGGCGCCAAAAATTGTAAGAGGATTGTACAGTGATGAGGCAGTGTTGCCAGATGGTCGCGATTCGTTTGGATTCTCCCGACATTTTAAATGATCTACAGACTCCCTACATAAACTCAAAATCTCCTGACAAAAAGCTGAGTTAGAATTAGACTTAACTTTGAAGTAAATTCTTTGAATTTTAAATCTTTTCTGAATACTACTAAAGAATCTAAATGTGAACTCTAAAATCCAATGCCAACTACATGTGGCAAACTAAACATTAAGTGTACTTAAATTTGTTATGTGTCAACAATGTTAAGACTATTTGTAGCCTATATGAATGATTTAAAAAATTAAACTTTTTATTTAACATTTTTTAATAATTAATTCTCCCGACAGCGACTCCAAAATCCCGACATTTTCACGTTTTGTCCAGACATTTTGGTCTTCCTATTTGGCATTCATATGTGCAAGTTTAAGCGGTTAAATGTATAAAGTAAAAAGTAAAAAAGTTACAGTCTATATACGTCCCACCGCTGGGCACAGGCCTCCCCTCATTTCTGAGAGGATTTAAGGGCAAGGAAGTGTCTTCGAAATATTTTTTTTCTTATTTCTCAGACATGCAGGTTTCCTCACGATGTCTTCCTTCACCGCCGAGCACGTGGTAAATCAGCACTTAAGATTGCAATTAACAATTTCATTGGTGCCGGCGGGAACCCGGGTTACTCGCGTTCTGTTATATTTACAGCGAGCGTTAACCATCTGAGCCACCACGGTTAAATGTATAGGTACGTAATAAATGTATATATAACTCTTGACATTTGAATCAACAAGAAAATCTGATTAAGATAGAAAGACTTCGTACCGCGTCGCTATTTATTTATTGTTGCGGGGAATCTTTTGCAACTGCCTCATTAGCAAAGTTGTTAAATGTTTATTATATATAAGGTGGGTGGACCATGGAAGGCCATGCTCCTTCAAAGGTTAATTATTAAAATGTTTTAGTTATTGCCATGTGATGACAAATTCCTTCTACTTACACAAACACCCATCAGACTGAAAATCAAAGACGCAACGGCGAATCGCTCGCGCTACTGTTTTGGCAGTACGGTCCCTCGCTTCATTGATTTCGGGAGTCGACGACGTTAAAATAAGGTGGGTGTACTATGGAAAGCCACTCTAACAAATAAACAGTTATTATTCGTTTATTTACTGGATAAATTAAACTAACAAACATTTATTTAATACTTTGTTTCATTACGTAACATATAAACCACTTCTTTTTATTGTAGATTAAATCGCTATTTATTAAACTTCAATGTTAAATTACCGATTTAATATAATGGCCTTCTAAGAAGCCTTGTTCCTAGGAAGGCCATATGGAAGAGTTCAATGAAACTTAAATTTAATCAATACTGATTAAATCTGCAATTTAAAAAAGTGGTTTATAAATATGTTACGTAATAAAACAAAGTATTACTTAAATATTTGTTAGTTTCATTTACCCAGTAAATAAACGAATAAAAAACTGTTTATTTGTTAGAGTGGCCTCTGATGGTACACCCACCTTAGTCAGTTTTATTAACTGGGGCTTAAATTATTCGTTGCTACTCATAATAATCTAAATTACGGGCCAGGGATGTTGCGGATGCAGAATTTTTTTACATCTGTGGCTGCGGATTTCAAATATTTATACTTAAATCTCAGCACTAACTTCGGAGGCTATTGTGTGGAAATCTTTTTATTTATTTTTTAATGTTTCTATAGTTAGTTTTATGTATTCTCAAAAATTAAATTATTTTTTACTTTTTATTGCTGTCACCTTACAAAAGCTTACAATGGGCAGACATAATGCCTTTTAGCAATTCTTGCCGGTTTCTTACCAAATTTATGAGGCCTTATATCGTATTGGAGTTAAAACAATCATGATTTTGTCTTCAATTTTAGATATTTAGTCCGGCTGGGTGAACTGGACTTGGCGAAAGACGACGAGGGAGCTACCCCCGTCGATGTGCTCATTAAAAACAAGATCAAACACGAGGAGTACAGCCCCAAGGCGTTCACTAACGATATAGGAATTCTTGTACTGGATAGAAAGGTCAAGTTTACAAGTAAGTAACATTTCTATAATTCATTCTTTACGTTGTAGAACCATCCTGCAGCTATATTAGTAGTATAGCTGTAGCACGAATGGATCAGCTTGAACAGGGAAGGACCACGCTCTCACAGAATACCAGCGTAAAATAACACCTTAATGCTGCTATGGTCCGTATAGCTTATGGTGCTTTATATTACGTATAGTAATGGTATAGCTTAATGGTGAGTGTAGAAAACCAGAGACCCTTTTTACTGAAAACGAGGTATTCCGTCTCAGTCCTCACGGGTGACAACGCATCTGCATTTTGATTCGTAATCGAGGGTAGATGTAGATGTCTATGGGTTATAGCATCCACATACCATCAGATGAATTTCGCAATCGCTTGTCACCCTTATTTTACAAAAAAATCATTCATTTATTCATTCATCCACAGATTGCCATACACCGATATGTCCATGTGATGAAAAACAGTAAAATTCCTACCTACGTCAAATTTTAATCGCCCCACCACCAATTTATCTTCCATTAATCACGTTATCATATTATATTTACAGACTTCATCCGACCCATCTGCATCCCGAAAGATAGAGAGTTGCGGGCGAGGAGCTTCGTCAACTACAACCCCATCATTGCTGGATGGGGTGACACAGAATTTCGTAAGTACTGTTCGAGCCATGTTATTTTTATTGAACAACTTGCTGTGTTCGCATGCATTATGATGCAGCATGAGTTTGATAGTACACATAGAAACTTTGTAAATTATATAAAACTAGCAATCTGCTCCGGCTTCGCACGGGTGATATCTGGATTTCACAAAGGCGCCATCTTTCGGGTCTAACTTTGCCTATAACCTTCGCGGAAATGCAAGCAATATGTTGACAATGTTTTACCGCAATCTGATGAACGGTATGGTAGCGCATAAAATACGAAGAAACAAATATTATTTTTTATATATTAGATTAATGATAAATAGTAGTATCCGACCAAAGCTTTGACTCCGGCCACCTTAGAAAAAAACCACCTTCGGCTTCGATCAAAATGGGCCTACGTTTTGACCGAAGTTAAAGGTTTTTATCAAACGCCGAAATTGAACGAACTGTTAATAAGGAGCGAGAGCGCGATGGACGTGGCGACGCAGTTTTTATCATCTCTAGATGAACTTCTAGAGATAATTAAAATTACTTTTTTATATTATACAGTCAATATAAACCTATGAGGTACGTGAGGGTAATATTATGTTCACCTTAAGCTTTGCCGGCTTATAAAACCAAAATTAGGAGAAGGGCGGAGACAAAAACACAAAGTCTTATGCTATAACTAATATGTCAAGACAAATTGCAAACAAGCTTTGTCAATAATTAGGAATACTTCGAAAAATCTACTTAAAATAACTTAGTCCACTACACCATACTAAAATCGACTAAAATATTTACTATAATGTCAAGTGCCAAAATCGATAAAGCATCGCCTATTAACGCCTTAATAAAATTTAATCGCCTTTTAACCCTTTATTATTTGATTGACCGATGAAGAGCTATCGTATCACAAAGCCATCTATGCAAACAAGGCTATAATTATTGAGTTACAAGAAAGTGACCATATTAACCGGATGACCATTTTACCCTCACAGACTATAACTTAAAAGTTTTAAATCATTTTTAACAATTTTAGTTTTCTTGAACTGAACTTTTTCGGAAAAACCTTCGGCTTTGGCTTCGGCCAGTAAACGACTTTCGCACTTATATTACTAAATCGGTTATTTTATTATTACCAGGCGGTCCAACGGCCACACTTCTGCAAGCTTTGCAACTACCCGTGGTGACCAACGAGTTCTGCGCGCAAGCATACTCTCAGTACAAGGCGCAAAAGATCGACGAGCGCGTACTTTGCGCGGGCTACAAAAATGGCGGTAAAGACGCTTGTCAAGGTGACAGCGGCGGCCCGCTCATGCAGCCTATCGTAAGTTTATTTGTAATAATTGTTTGAAAATTCATTTCCCATAGAAATATTAGAATTCTATGATATTTCTTCTAAAATGTTTTTAATAATATAGATATACAAGGTGTAAGTGTAAACACCGTTGTCACTAAAACCATAGGTAGAGTTAGCTTTAATATAAAAATATTTATCTGAATTTAAAAAAAACTCTATTTTCTTTCATAAAATTTAAAAAGTTTCTGTCCGACACCGTCCGTAGATTCATGGATACCCTATGCGCCCGAGTGACGTTATCACTGTAAAGATCAACGCCGCCCTAGCTACCTACACAACATTCCAATAAAAACACAATAGGTGTGTAAACCTGTGATGTAACTTTTCCTTCATACCTTCATCCTGGCTTAGGACAGGCAAAAATTCCTACCCTTTAATTTTAAGGAAAAATTGAGATTTTACTTAAAAAATGTTGTTATTTTCCAAGTTGTTTCAAGTGAAACCATACCACTGGTTTCAAGGATAACGGTGTTTACACTAACACCCTGTATAGTATTATTATAAAAGAGTAAAGTAAAATTACAACTTATACGTCCCACAGCTAAGCAATGGCCACTAATTTGTGAGAGGGTTTTTGAGAGCAAGGAATTGTCTAAGTAATAATTGTCATAATAAGTAGACGTATAAGTGCCTTGTATAATAACTACATGAATAAAAATATTTGTTTTGATTTGTTAAGGCCACCACAGAAAAGTAGAAAAAAGTTTTTCACGTGCATTGTTATCTTCCTTTCAGTGGAACTCGAAGAAGTTTGTCACGCACTTCTACCAAATCGGCGTAGTGTCGTATGGCAAGAGATGTGCTGAGGCTGGCTTCCCAGGAGTCTACACCAGGGTGACGCATTTCGTTCCTTGGTTGGAGGAAAAAGTGGTGGGGACAGTTTAATGTGCAATAGTACGTGGACTTAAAGGTTGTGATAACTTGAACTTTTGTCGTTAGTAACTTAAAAATAGTTAAGTAGACACTGTAAAGAGAAACTGTACTATATTTTAAAGTACGTGTTTATGTACTGTATGTGTTAAACTGTATCGATGGAACATTTTTGTGACCCATTGATAATTTTTATTTTTAATCTATGCTTAGATTTTTATTTAGTTATACAAACGAGATTCAATATTAATTATCCTGTTAGAATTTTTTATATTCTATGGGTAAAACTAAATGTTATCTGAATTATAGGTTACCATTACATGCATCATGGACTAACGAAGGAATTTTAATAAAATATAATGACGAAAAATTGTATACGATAAGGAAAAAGAAAAAAACGACGGTCATTTACAAATTCGCTTCGTTAATCTTTTCGCCAAAGTTCGTTGGAGAATGGCTCTACCTCCATAGAGTAGATTAAAAAAATCATGCTTATAAACCAACAAGTAATAGGAAAATAAAACGTATTAATTAAATACTCTTTGGGAAAAAAGTCGTGCGAGTGCAGTGCTACACAGCACACTGCTAAAGATAAAAGTTAAAAGTGTGTTTTGCTGTAATTCTATGAATCAGGAAATAAAAACTCTAATCATATGAGCACAATCATCTCTTTCCTTTTTGGTCATTGATTGCGTACGGCGAGGTTAAAAATTATTGCATATTGCGTTTGAGGGATCGATGCAGGTCTAGTATAATATATACTTTAGTTACAACTACATCAACTGGTACAAATATATCGTTGCTGGTACGTGATAATTAAAATTTAGGGATTGTAAACGTGTAAATGCTTTTTTTTCGTTCGGGTTACGTGCGTCCCAGTATAAGAAGCTGAATTTTGTCAAGAATCACTGGGGCAGTGTATTAGGCATGTGAATAAAAAAAACAACAGTATTTCCACGAGAAATAATATAAATTAAAAAATAACCATAAATTATGTATAAGGATTTTAAAGCCGTGCATTAATTTTACCGTGTCTTCGGAGCTATTGTCACCCGAAACACAGAATAAATAATAGTAGGTATCACAGAATAAATAATAGTATTACTACGTACCCGAATCCCGAACTAATAAATCATAAAAGTTTGGATGTCATTTCTGAGATATTAATTTAATAAAATTCTTTATTTTTTAAGGGATACTTATACCTATTGATATTTTTTATAAATAACAAAAATATTTAAGTCAAAATAAAAATATCAAGAATTTTATTAATATAGTTTATTTATATTTAAACACGATTTTATGTATATAAAAATCTATAATAATGTATTTCTTTAACTTTACTTAGCTTCACAATTAATTTTATTTATACGCATGTTTTGTGTTTCTTGGTAAAAATATTTATTAAAATATAAAACTTTTTTTAACGATTAGTACTACCTCTTTTCTGGGAAGTTTTGGCGGAAACTTCACCACCTCGGCGAAGCGTTGCATAGAGTACTATAAGTACAGAAGTGTTGCTTTTTATTAAGCTGTCGTGGCATCAACATTAGGATTGATAGGGATTCCTCTTTCTCGTCCCCATAATAAGGAATTTTCTCATTTCTTTACCATTCCACGTAATTTCTGCATTCCAGAACATCCCTTTTACTAACGAGGAGGTGCTATCCCACAGGCACTTTTTCACACTCGATGTTATCGGAAATATAACAGTAACAATGAAGAAAGTCGCAGATTCGTTACCCCAAAATCGCTAATAGATAAACATTGAGACGAATATGTCTTAAAGATAAACAGGCTTTGGTAGTGAAAAATTAACCCTTCCCTCCCTGTTATTCCTTATCTTTTCAGTGCCGTTGAATTAGTTTACGACGGATTTCGATACCGTCCAAATATAAGGATCTTTTACTTTATATAATTTAAAATTCTTTTGAGATTGTGTTAATATTTATGTAAGTATTAAATAGATAAAGTTGTAAGTTGCATTGTATTGTAAGTGCATTAAGTTTAAAGAATTCTCAAATCTCGGCTCTCGATATTAGTTTTTATTTATATTTTTATTGTTATACATGGTATAGCATATTTTTACTTATATTTTTACATTCTTGTCACGATTTCAAACTAAAATAAACATAGGTATTTATAATTTTGCACAGTTTGTGATAATATACTATTTATGAATTAACACATTGTTTTTTATTTTTAAATCCAGTCTCAAGTTTAATTTATTAAAAGTAAAAGTTACAGTTTATATATGTCCCACTGCTGGGCACAGGCCTCTCCTCATTTCTGAGAGGGCTTTTTAGAACAAATAAGTGTTCGCCGCGCTGCCCCAATGCGTGTTGGCGAACTTTACGTCTTCGAAATATTATATTTTTCTTATTTCTCATACATGCAAGTTTCCATAAAGGTGTCAGACAGGGCTTGTTCCTGCTGTCTATTTATGGACAGGGCAAAAAAATTAATGGGTTTTGCAAGGGTTGTTATGGTTTTTGAAAGAGAAGAAAGTAAAACGATTTGTGAAATAAGAATAGAAGGGGAAATGATCGAGCAAGTAGATGAGTTTGTATATTTGGGCTGCGTATTTAGCAGGCATGGGAGATATGATAAGGATATAGAACGACGAGTGAATGCGGGAAATAGAGTAAATGGGGCCTTGCACTCTATTGTGAAGAGTCAAAATGTGTCGAAAAAGGCACGTATGGCAATTCACAATGCTGTGTTGGTCCCTACTTTAACGTATGGTAGTGAAAGTCGGGTGTGGCAGAAGAAGCACGAGAGTAGAATAAACGCAGTAGAAATGCGGTCGTTAAGGAGTATGTTAGGGCTGAATCTGAATGACAGGGTAAGAAATTGTGTAATAAGAGAAGAGTGTGGTTTGCAAGATGATGTTGTGACCAGGATTAAGAAAGGAATGCTTCGGTGGTTTGGTCATGTGAAAAGAATGAATGAGGAAAGAGTGACAAAGAAAATTTATGGTGCAGAAGTGAATGGCAGAGTCGGAAAGGGACGTCCTGGGCGAAAATTTATCGACCAAATTGGCGATTTATTGAAAACGGGCCAAATTAGGAGTACCCTTAAACGACGAGCATGTATGCGTAGGTGTATGGATGTGAAGGAGGCAAGAGAGGTGTGTCAGGATCGTGCCAAATGGAAGTCTGTAGTCTCTGCCTACCCCTCTGGGTTACAGGCGTGAGTGTTTATGTTTTATGTCTATGCAAGTTTCCTCAAGATGTTTTCCTTCACCAGTGATCACGTGGTAAATCAGCACTTAAAATTTCAATTACCAATTACATTGGAGCCGGCGGGGATCGAACATTATATGGATCGAAATTTACAGCGAGCGATAACCATCTGAGCTACCACGGCTCTCACGACTAGTAGATATGCTTACAGTTATTTATCATTTTATTTGATTTCATTTCAAATTAATTAATATATCCTACCTAAAAAATTAATTTAACAATTTTACTGGTACCGGCCGGCGGGGATCGAACCAGGTTTTCTTAAGTAGTGTATTTATTATTATGCATTTATTCATGTTTTTTTTGTCGATACGATATTAAAATAACGGTTTCTAGGATCCGTTATGGCATGAAAATAAAAAAACAGATTTTCGATTGGTTATTTTATTATACAATACAATAATATTACCTGGACAACAACATTGTTTAGTCAATTAACGGGCAATCGCCCAAAGTTAAAGCTCTTCTAAACTCATTGCACCGTCGCCCCGATATATTTTGCTCTCGGTACATCATTAAACATTACATTATAAAACGTATCAGCAAATTAAATGAAGAAAGCAAATAAAATCAAATAAATCAAAAAAAAGCAAATAAATCATCTCGTATATTATGTATAGAAAAATGGTTAATCGGTAAGCAACAAGCATACATCGAGGCAATACACCACTAATAACATCAACATTACAAAATTTCTTAGTTCGTATGATACATAAAAACATCCAAACGTATAGTACAAAAAGTAGCTCGATCGTATCCTTTAAAACGTATACTTATTACTCTGTAAAGTTAAAAAGGGTACAGTAACTTGTAGAGACGCTTAGCATCTTATACTTTTTTATAGCATTGAGTGACAAACGAGCATACAGTCCAACCGATAATGAGTGGATGTTGTGGCCCATAAGCATACATATTTATCCTCAATTAAGAATCGTATAGTTTAAAAAAATATGAGCCTTATTAAGTGCCATTTCAACACGTTTTTATTAGCTTCGCGTGTATCCATCTATCTATGTAACGGAATCTTTTAATGTAATTTTCATCAAGATTTATACGGCCGACTGACTTGATAATTTGCACACGTATCTAGGAACGGTGAAAATACAATAATTTAACTAACTCTATCCCAGTATCCTGATCAGGATCACCAGGATAATTCTCTCAAGAATTTACACAGCTCGTAATCAATGCGTGTTTTTGAGTTTTCTTAAATTTGAATATTATTAAATTGTCACTTAAAACAATATTGTATTTCTGGTCTTCCAATCAATAATAGTTATTTAGCTATTGATATAGCACTTTCAATATAACATTTATTGATCACGTAACAAAATTCGATTTCACCCCAAGTTACGGTACCTATCTTTTTTATTTCTTTGTAAACTATTCCCTCTAGTAAAATATGAATTGAGAGGTCTACTTTTAATTGTTTGGTTATAATATACAGTAATAACAATAATAATGTCCTCCAGACCGAATTTTGGCCACGGCGGCCTGCCTCAACGGAGACTAGGCATCGACGCAAGACAGGATTATAGTGCCCAAGTGTATGCGCAAGCACAGGTGCACTCTCTATTCCCTCACTCTCATAATCCGATGGGACGGTAAACCGACACGACCGGAGAGAGATCAGGCGCAGGACCAACGGCTTTACGTGCTTTCCGAGGCACGGGGGTTGGACACCGCCAACTTCCTGACCCCGGGCAACTACTGAGAATTTCCTGACCCGGGATTCAAACCCAGGACCTCATGATCAGCAGTCGCATTACT